AATTCTGAGAAACACTTTGAGCAATTTTGACAGCGTAGCCAGGCTCTCAGTATTTATTACATTGTTATTGGAATACTCCTCGCCGGTTGCTGAGAGCAGTTGTTTTGTCCCAGTGGTGGTGTCTATGGTGGGTATTAACAGGAACTTGAGGAGAGCTCAGACTCGCCTTGATGATGTTTCTGTAATGAATCAGTCACAGAGTTGAAAGCTGCTCCTATGTCTCCAGGCCGTTTTAGAGGATCTGTCTGATGGAGTCCATGCTCCAGAGAGGTATAAAATACGAACTCGTTATCTTCTGGAGGGAAAGCACTCGCCCAGCTATTCTAAATCTCCATCGATCATTAATAATATGGGATAGTGTAGAATGTAATTTGGGTTTCCCCATTTGGTCTGTTGTGAGAGACACTGCCAGCAGGTTGGAGTCAAAGGTCTCGGCCGATCTGAAGGTCCAGTGTTAGTTACCTGCCCAGGCCTGCCCTCCCCACCACCTCAGTGGCACTCTGTGAGACCCACTGCTTACTCATCAAACCAATGAGAAGCAAATGAGATGCACAAGCAATGCTATGGTGTGCTGGCCTTGGCTAAGCTAGGCAGGGATGGGATGGCCTGGGCTGGGCTGGCCTCTTCAGATTACTGCTGAGTGACCTTGTGAATGAATTGAAGATAGGATTGAGCTGTAGTGGTCCCACATTCCATTAGATCAGTGTCACTCCTGAAGACTGCTATGGGGAGGGGTGGGCGCTTGTTTATTGACATTGCTGCTGTGGGGTGGGAGGGTTTGGGGTGGTGGGGAGCAGAGGACAGCCAGGGCTTGCAAGAGTCAACACCGTCAGGATTAGGATGAGGGGACAAAGTGGTTTAATAATGTGCAGTTGACAAATAACAAAGACAAAATAAGTCTCTCTCTGTCTGATATTAAATATTCCAGGCGCGAGTCAAGTGTGGAAAAGCTGGCGTCCACAGCAGCTTGTCTGATCTCCCACACGTGAGCCAATGAATACTGATATTGCCACATGGATGGAGCCTCACTGACATTGGCTACAGGAATTGAACCTCTGAATAGGGCTGTTAGTCGTCCTCTTTGCACACTTTTACTGACGGCTGCTTCATGATTGTCCAATGCCAATATACAATTCAGTAATAATCCCTGCATTCGATATGACGCCTTATCATGTTTAAATGATGGCCGAGCCTCCAGCCGCTTTGTCCCTGACCTCCGGTACTCTCTCCTGAAATCCTTCCTGCTCTCCCTTTCCCTCTCTGATTTTAAATCCTATCTGAAGCCCTCTCTGTTTGACCTATCACACTGTCATTCGGCCACCTCACCCTCAGTTTCCTGCCAATGTGGTCTCTCGCTCAGACCTTGAGATGTTTCCCAACGTGAATAGTGCTGATTGAGTGCAATTTATTAATGTTATTGAACCTTCACAGACTAGGTGTAGGTGAATGTGTCACTTGATGTTGTGCTGGGAGGGCAGCAGAGTGGGTATTCTGGAGGGATGAGATCAATTGCCAGGCCATAGGTCTTCTTCATCCAAACCAGTTTTGTGAACTCCACCGGCTCCCAGGAGTTATACGTTCCTACAAACAGCCGTGAATTAAATGACCAATTTGAGGGATTGTCGACCAGGACACCAGGAGAAAGAAACTCCCTTCTCTTTTCCAATAATTGTTGTGGGATTGTCAGCGTCCACCTGAACGGGTTGTAATGTCTCATCTGACAGATATCACCTCTGACGATGCCGCAATTTCCCCCACCCACCCCACCCCCCCCTCATCACCCCAACACTTGGGTGTCAGCCTGGACATTGATTCTTCTCAAACTTTGCATACACATTGCATTTTGTTACTCTTAGTTTTACATTAAAGTGGTTATAATTTCTGAATAGGTGGGTTTTTCGGAGGTGGGTGTTTGCCTTGAATTCCAGTCTCTAATTGAGTACTTGCCTAAGGGTTTGTGCATAGCACAGTAACCACACTTTGCATTTCAGTACAAGAGACTTCGTACTGTCAAGGCCATTTGTTGGGAGATGATGAATGCGGTGTATTCCAGACATAGACATAGCCCGGAGACCACACTGTTTCCTGGCACACTGATGTACCCTTCTCACTCTGCCAGATAACTTGTAACCTTCCTCCTCCCCTGCTCCTCCTCCCTGCACCGTTTTTTAAAGAAAACGAATGTCTTTTCCAAGTCAAGTCAGACGGTCTTGCCTTCCGGCTTGCAAGCCAGAAATTCCAGCTTGTAAACAAACGGAGCGACATGAAACAGCCAAGATGGATCCACGCTTCCATTGTGCAGGGGATTTTTTAAAAAAGTGTTAGGGTCTTCACGCACAAGATTTCATTTGAAGGTTTTGCACCTTTCTTGTACTAATGAAAAAAAACTCCCTCTCACATTCGCACGTGTTGGCTAAAGGGGCAGGAGATTGAGAGGTTCTGTTCCCGACGTGCATGATATTGAAATAATATCATTTTTTTATAAGATATTCTTAGGGGTTTGTCAAGTGCCGAGTGCGCCCAGGATAAACACGATATCTCAGCGCTGACTGTTCCAAGCATTCCTCTGTGTGAACATGTCTGTATGCTGCTGGTGAGTTGTGGCTTTTTCACACCAGTGCAGAAATTGTCATCATTCACTATGGTTGGTCAGAAGGTCTCTGTTTACACTTTTCAAATCATTCCATCTAATTTTGTTTGAGATGATCCTCATGTTTCTTTTCTTTTTCCTCCCACTACCTTCCAATCGTTTTTATGTCTCTGACCTCTGGAACTCCCTCCTTCCATCTCAACCCTTCCCCACTCTCTCTCTGTCTTTAAATCCAGCCTAAAAACCTCTCTCTTCAGCCACACCTAGGGTTGCCTCTCCCTGACTTGTCCTTTTTGAAGGGGGCAATGTTAATACAAGTTGTTGTTTATGTTTGTTAGTTTGCTCCGTGTCTCTGCCCCACCCATGGTGGTATGTGTTTCCCTGAGCACTGATCATCTTGTGGCACTTCACTCACATGGTGGGCTGAGTCCTGTAGCAGTGATTCGAGGACTCGACTGGCAAGCGAGAGGACCCACAATAATTTGGTCACTCAATTTTGTGACTATGGGCGGGATATTGCTGTGTGCAGTTGGCTGCCGCGTTTCACCCACAAAATACACAGTCCCTATTCTGTATTCACTGTACCGTATATTCTGTGAAGCGCTTTGAGACGTCTCAACGACGTGATTAGCAGCAATATGAAATGCAAGGATTATTATTATAGTGGGTGAGGGTCGGCAGGAGGTTGGCTTGTGGGAGGGAGTGGTGGACCCCAGGCCTGACTGCCCTTTGCTGACACACACACCAGCCTCTCCCGACTGCTCGCAGCACTGACTGGCCATCGTAATATCTCATCCTCTGGCGTTCCGGCTGTGGTTGGTATTTCCATGCACTGACTGGGCAGCAAGCCTGGACCCTCCCTCAGTTTTGCGTTGACCAGGGAGCTTACTATCTGAGTTGTCTCGCTTGCTCTCTCTACGCTACACAGTGGAAAGCTGTAATCCACACCACAGGCTGAAACTGTTGGTTAATCTTTATTTTTATTTTCTTTGTAATTGATTTTCCCAGAACAGAGTGAAGTGATGAGTTTCATCAGATTAGAGAAAGAGAGTCTCACTCACACAGACACACTCACTCAGACACACAGAGAGACACGCGCACAGACACACACAGACACACAGACACAAACCCACACATACAAGTGGGACTGGTCCCAATTAGTGTGGATATTCGCCTCTCTTTGCACTGTACTCTTTGCCTGCAGACGTTTGGAGCAGACTTGCTGGATGAAGGTGCAGTCTCGTTCGTTTAGATTTTCAGATCTCTATCTTGTGTTGGGTTCAGGAGAGATACTGACGCGTAAAACGTGGAGATATTCATTCAATACAGAGCCAGCGAGCAGTGCAGGTTCTGGATGAACGATCTCCTTGTGCTGTGAGTTTCACCACATTGTTCTCTTTTGCCCTTTGATGCACAAAAGCACTGGGCTGTGCCAGGGGCCCGCACGCTCCAGTGAGCAGCGTGTTATAGTGGAGAGTGCGGAGCTGGCCCCAGTGTGGGGGGACTGACTGGCAATGAGTGGACCCCCTCCCCACAGTCCTGCCTAAGTGTAACCTCCACCGCCCCTCCGCCCCAAACTTCCCCTCTACAATGGCCGAGAGCATTGCCAGATGGTAATTCTCATACTTCCCACGAGCTGGTCAATGAGAAGCAGTGCCCACTCCCTGACCTGGTCAATGCACTGATACTGACATCAACAGCGGAAAACCGAATTACCGGCAAAAGTGAATAATAAACTGGTTTCAATGTGGTTAATTCTGACGTGTCAGTCGTTTCTAATGCCTTGGCGAACTCTGTGTGTGTGTGTGTGTGTGTCTGTCTGGGGGGGTGTATATGTGTGTTTGTCTGTATTGTGTTATCTGTGTCTATTTCTGTCTGCCTCTGTCTGTCTCAGTCTCACTCTCTGTCCATCATACGTGGTTCTATTTTTGTGGATTGTTTTCATTCACTTAGTGGTGGTGGTGGTGGGGCTAGTCATAGGGTCTGGTGACGCGCTCAGTAAATCTATCTGGAGAACAGCTCATAGATACTTCCTTTCTGACTTTGGAACGAGTGAGTGGACAGATGGGAATATTGGAGTAATGTGGTGTTTTGGGTGATTTTTACAGTGAGCAAACTTGCAGCTTGGGGAAATAGTTTGTTTGCCAGCATTAACGGGAAAAGGACTGATCTGTTAAGTATCAAACCACAGTCTTGTGAAAAAGATAAATATTGCACCAAGTTCAGTGTAGCAAAATAGCAAAACATGGGCATCAGCTCCGACCTGACTGAAGTGTTTTGATGTGAGGCTGGAGATCAGATTGGCCACCCAGCCTCTCAACACCAAGCGTGTCTCACATTCTACAATAGGTTATTGTAGTTAACACTACGTAATAACACTCCCTCTAACATCCCATTCTTGCTCTTTCAGATGTTGATGAATGTGTCGAGGGGACAGATAATTGTCACATTGATGCGATCTGTCAGAACACCCCAAAGTTCTACAAGTGCATCTGCAAGTCTGGCTACACCGGAAACGGCGAACAGTGTGAAGGTGTGTGTATGTGCTGACAATTATGGTCCAACCTGTCGTCCTCCATGGCTTTGCTCCTCCCTATTTCTGTGACCTGCTAACTCCATTCAGACCTGTCTGCTCCCTCCAGCCCGCAGGCTCCAACCTGCTTTACGTCTCCCGCCTGGCCCGTCTCACCCTGGGCAGTCAAGCCTTCAACCTTTCTGCCCCCACCCTTTAGAACTCCATCCCACATTCCCTTTGCCTTGTTCCCCCCCCCCCCCCCTTGCCTCCTTCAGATCTTCCTCTTCGACTGTGCTTTTGGTCACCCTCCTACCCTTCCCTGTCCTCCACCCCTCCTGATCCCAACCTCCAGCTTGGGTCCAAATCCTTGACTGTCCAGGGCCTTGGGACATCCTTCCAACACGAAAAGCTGCAAATCCAAAGGCATGCAAATTTAATTTGTTATAGATTTGCTGGAAATTCTAGGTTCTCATTCATACACATTAATACCCAGCTCAGCCCAGGCTCCATATGATGTGATGTGATCCATCTATTCATCTGGAATTCTTTCCCTCTCTGCACTGGGAACAAAACTGCGGGTCAGAGTGTTCCCAACAGAACGTCCTGCCCGCGGGAAATACTTCCAGCAGGAAGTTCCTGTTTGGTTCTGTCGCCATGACTGATGGACAAAGTGTTGGCCTTTGCCTTGTGCAAGAGGAATGGAAACTCCAGTTGATCTCTTTGCCTGGCTGCGTCTCTCAGCTGCGTGTCTGAGTACGCCCTTTCCCACACGTCACAATGTCTCGTACCCTCCTTTTCAACTGCATCTGGAGTCCTGTTGCTCAGTGGTTAGAGCATTCGCCTCACAAACGAGAGACCTGGGTTCGATTCCCAGCACGGCAAAATGTTGGGCAAGTTTCCTTACTCCACACTCCTGATAATAATCCCTCAAGAAAACAAACACAATAATAATTTGGTCACTTGGATCCACTTGTTTGTGGGACGCTGCTATGCGTAATTTGCTGCCGCATTTCGCCCACAAAAAATGCAGTCAATTCACTTTACAGTATTCTGTGAAGCGCTTTGAGACGTCTAGAAGACGTGAAAAGCGCTATATCAAATTCAAGGATTATTATTATTAAAGCTTCTTGCTGTTGGTGGAGGTTGCCCAGGTCTGTCTGTCTTTTGCTAAAAGTGGTCCTTTGTGTGTGAGCACAGGGAGCTATTTACCGAGGGAGGGGCACCACAGCCTGTCCTTGTCTGATCTCTACACACTACATTCCCAGTGTGTAGGGACCAGTCCCGTCCTTGTCTGATAATGATCCTTGTATTTGTTATAGCGTCTTATCACAGTTGTTGAGACATCAAAGCGCTTCACAGGATTTACTGCAAAGTATAGTGACTGTGCAACATCCTACAAATCTTCATGCACATCCTTCTCAGCAGAGTCTCCCCTAGTTTTCCCTCCACACAATATTCCCAGGGTGGATCACTGGACGTGAGAATGAAAGAGAAATGCCTTGAGCGTTCCGTAGAGCTCAGCTTTGTCTAGGATTCTGAGTGTGGTGAGAGGCATCTCATACCTCAATGCCTGGCACTGCTGAAAAGCATTACCTCTCGCTTCTAGTGAAATCTATGTCTGACTCCCAGGTCGCTTGACTGCAAATGACTTTGAATCTGAAATGTGTATTTACTGTATTAATCTGGTTTAGTGGGCAGCACTCTCTGAAGCAGAAGGTTTTGTGTTCATGCCCTTCGTTGGGATTTTGAGCTTGCAGTCCAGGCTGACAGACCAGCACTAGGGGAGCGCTGCATTGTCAGAGATAAGCTAACATCTGTGCCTGTTCATGTGGACATTAAAGATCCCATGACAATATTCATGAAGAGAACGGAGGTTCTCTTGGTGTCCTGGCTAAATATCCCCCAAATAGAATTCCATTGCTTTTCGTGGGACATTGCTGTGTGCAAATTGAGTGCCATGTTTGGCTACAAAATACACTACGTTTTACAGTAAATCCTGTGTTGCGCTTTGAGATGGCCTCCTGACCTGAAAGGTCAAATACAAGGATTATTAGGATTATTTTATTATATTTCCTGTGTTTGTAGCAGGGGATTACACAGTCCTGGGAGAGGTGAACTAGTGTCTGTCTGGTTTGCTAAGTATTCAGCCCTCTTCCCCAGGTTAAATGCAGTATATTTAGCCTGTCCCAACTGACTGAATAGAGAGATTTCCTGGACTGTAATACAAAACGACCGCTTTCCAAGTCACCAGGTAACAACACTTCAGTGTTTTGTGTAGAAACATTACTGATGTCATTTCCTACACTCTGCACATGTGCACTACGCACAGGAAACACAACTTTGTGCAGGAAGTGGCATTAGAGGTGACCTGATGACCCAGAAGATGGCCATTAATTTCACATGAGGGTCATCACTTTAACACGGGGTATGAGTTATAACAACAACTTGCATTTATATTGTGCCCCTCGCGCAGGGTGGGTCCCAGAGCTCTTGACAGTGGCAGAGCCTGACACCGATCCAGGGGCTCGAGGAGTGACCATAAGCACAGTCAAAGAAAAGGAAGACTTTCAGGTGCGACCTGAAGATGCAGAAAGAGCGGGTGGAGAGATTGAGGGAGAGAGTTCCAAATGTGTTATAGATGTAGACCTTACACTGGCTCACCCAGCAGGCACTGTTTGATTGAACAGTTACCATGTTTCTCATCATTACTAATAAGTTGATCTGACTGAGTGGTCATTCTAGTATGCTCTTATGTCTTGTATATCTCAACACAATGTACACTTACACAGTGTTCTCACATAGGAGAACATCTCGAAGGGCATCACAGCAACACCAAACAAGGTGGGAAACAGGGGAAGTGACTGAATAATAATAATCCTTGCATTTGATATAGCGCTTTTCACGTCGGGAGGACGTCCCAAAGCACTTTACAGAATATACTGTAAGGTGAATTCACTGTATATTTGTGGGCGAATGCGGCAGCCAATTGCGCACAGCAATGTCCCACAAACAGTCGTAGATTGAAAATGACCAATTTATTATTGTTTTTGGTTTTTGGAGGGATTATTATTAGGCTCTGTGTGGAGTAAGGAAACTTGCCCAAGGTTACGCCCTCTGCCTGGAATTGAACTCAGGTCTCTCGCTTGCAAAGCGAGTGCTCTAACCACTGAGCTACAGGACTCCACGACTGAAGACATGGTTCGATTAAGGGAAAGTGGGCGGGTGGAGGGCGACAAACGGAAGAAATTTTGGGAGAGAGTTCGGGAGAGTGGGGTCTCAGTGGTTGAGAGCTTGGCCTCAGATTGATGGATTGAAGGACAGGCACCGTTTGAGGAGTAGAGAGAGATGTGAGAGATTTTCTAATCTAGGTAAGTATATTTAGGCGATATTGGTGAAGACGTTCATTGACCTGGGCTGAGGCTGTCACTCTGGAGGAATCCTCTGCAGCGGTGGGACCTTGTTGGTGAGCGTGCGTGTAAATACTACTAATAATAATCCTTGTATTTGATATAGCAGCTTATCATATTGTTGAAACATCTCAAAGCACTTCACAGAATAAACTGTAAAGTGAATTAACTGTACATTTTGTTGGCAAAATACGGCAGCCAATTGCGTAGTGTCCCACAAATAGTTATGGATTGAATGACCAATTTATTTTTGAGGGATTATTATGCCCGGAAAGCGATCTGCCATTAGATCGCTATCAACCGGGTTCTTACTTACAACTAGGTAAACAGAGGTGTGTAGAGTAAGTACGCTAACCACTACGCTACAGGACTCCACAAGCTTAGTGTCAGTGCACCTCTTCGGGCCAGTCCTGAGTGGCAGTGACACTGGTCACAGTGACTAGCTTGTGCCTGTTGGCTGGTGAACGCTCTGTGGTTGCTGCAGTGAGAGCGGTGGAAAGGGTCCTGTGGAATCTGTGCTCCATTCTGCAGGCTCGCGATTGACTGGCCTTCAGTAACTTGCTGATCTCCTTGAACTGGTTGATTGACTGGTGATGAATGGTTTGTTTTCAGATATTGATGAGTGTAAGGACGACTACAACGGGGGCTGTGTACATGAGTGCATCAACATCCCCGGAAATTATCGCTGCACCTGCTACGACGGTTTCAAACTCGCCCACGACGGCCACAACTGTCTTGGTAAGTCTGCAGGCTGCTTGGTCTGCCTTTGAGAATCTCTCATGTGAAAGTAATCCATGTCCTGGATGGGACCCCTCCTCCCCCCGCGCAGACTCCACTGAAGTGGGAAAGAGCAGAAGAGGCGATTCTAATGGTGCTGCAGCTCTGTTTGCTCAACATATTGGGCGAAATCCGTGTTTATTGTGAGGATAACCCTGACCAGAGGCACTCGGTAAATGCTGTATTCAGGCCACAATCGCTCAAATCTTCCCAGATGGTGAACTCACACATACTCTCCTGGAAATCACAGCACATACATTCCTATAGTTCTTTTCCTCTCTTTTTCCTTCCCTTTTTCTCATTTTCTTTTTCTTTCTTTCCCTCTTCTCTCTCTTTCTCTCTCTCTCTCTCCCCTCCTCCAATCCTTAAGGCATTTTAACTCGTCCCTTGTGCTGATCTCTGAGACTCCTGACAGTGTTGGTGACATTGTCTTTGTGGATGTTTCTGTGGCTCTGACGTATTATGAAGCCGCTTTGCCCTTGACTCCTGTACTGAACGTGGATATTGTCCATCTAGCTGCCTGCGTGAGGAGAGCACAGAGAAGTCTCTGGGGTTTCAGCTGCTTGTTTACTCTGCACTTCCTGAAAGCATTAGCTAGCGGCCAGGCCACGGAATAGTCGGTTTGGTCAGTGCGTCATCCCTGGAAATGTAGTTTCCCACTGAGGTTCCCCTGTTGACATAACGCGGGTAGAGTCCTGGTGGCTGACAGTGCTATAGTCAGGCTGGGCTGCAGAGGTAGTGAGTCTGGTTTAACGTGACTCAGACCCTTCGCTGGATTCGTTAATTGGAGTGTCCGTTGTTGCAGTGATGTCATTTGGGAATGACTGTTCCTGTGGTTCTGTCTCACTGTCTCTCTCAGCGTGCTGCCCTCGCTCGGCTTTGTGAATGGGAGAGTGTGTCCCGTTGGCTAACACTGGGATTTATTACAGTAAGCTTCTGGTTACTGTCACCATGGTTGCAATCTCCAAATGTGGCCACAGAGCTTGAACCCAGTGAAGCATTCAGCGAGGAAATCTCTCTGAAAGGCACTCCCTTTCTCAGCTCGTTTACACGAGGTGCACAGACACAGACAGACACAGACTCACTCTCAGTGTTATTTATGATTGGACGTGTGACGATGCTGATTAAATGGAATATTATGGAGATTAAGTTCCTCGAGTGGCAACCTTATTGTTTCTTTAAAATAAAGTTTAGATTGGCTGGTAAATCGCTTGGCAACCGCACAGTCTGGTGCGTTTAGGATTATGAAAGGATTCAATAAGGTGGACATTAATGGGCTGTTCCACTTGTTGGTAAGTCCAAAGCCAGAGGATGTAAATGTAAGTCGGCCGGTATCAAATCTAAAGGGAGTTCAGGAGGAACTTGCTCACACAGAGGATGGTGAGGATATGGAACTTACTGCTGGAAGCTGTGGTTGAATCAAAAAGCATCAATGTTTTTCAGAGGAAGCTTATTGCATACACAAGAGAGAAGGCAATAGAGCGGAATAGGAGAGGGGAGTATGAGAGGTGAAGCCTCTGGTGGAGTGTAAACACCGTCACGGACTAGTTGGGTCGAATGGCCTGTTTCCGTGTTGTAATGTTCTACATAATTCTAAGTGGCAGAGCCCTGTTGGAGTAGAGGGTCAACGGTCAGGGCTGTGTTGCTGATCTCACTGGGGTGGGGTGCGGTGATCATTCAGTGGTGTTTGACAGGGTCAGTCCTGGGCTGTAGCTATTACTGGGTTTGACGAGTGGCTCTAGTGTACAGTGTTCAGCATGGAGTGCGCATTCCATTCAAACAATCTATCTGGGATTCCCATGTGTAGGTGAGATGCATGGAAATCTCAGCTTGGTTTGGAGACTCTTAAGCATCGTGATAAGTTTCCACATGTATCATTCTGCTGACTGACCAAAAAAAAGCTCAGGGTGATGTGAAGTTTTCTTGCTTCCAATTTTTTTGATTAAAGCTTTAGTATCAAATGTGCCCAGGTAGCCTGTGGTTCTTATTTTCTTTTTGTTTTTTCCCCCCCCAAGTTTGTGAACAGTGTTTGAATTTACAGTACAAAGGAAACGTTTCTCTCAGCTGTTATAGATTAACTTATGTATATGTAAGTGAGATGTCGTCAATATTGAGAAAGAACTTTTGTCTGAGTATCAAATGCCACATTCAAAAAAAATAATAATAATCTTTGTATTTGATACAGCCCTTTCACATCAGGAGCATGGCTCAAACCACTTCACACATTATACTGTAGGTGAACGTGACAGCCAATTTGCGCAAGGCGCTGACACTGGCCAATCCTTTCCCTTCTCTTTATGAATTTGGTGGTGGTGTTGAATAGTTTCATTGGATCTTTAATGCCCTCCTAATCAGGCACAGACAGAACCTCAGTTTAATATCTCATCTGAGCTCCCCCAGCACAGCACCGGAGTGTCAGCCCCGCATTTATGTGAATTCTAGGTCCCGATGCGGGGCTTGAACCTACAACCTCTGGGAGTTGAGAAGTGAGCCAGGTTACACAAATGTTAAATACAGCTTGGCCCAATGCAGGGTAAATCTCCCTCTATTGTTCCCACAACCGCTGAATCGCTATCCCAGCTTGTGAAAATCCCTCTGAACTGTGGAGTACATTTAAATTATTCAGTGTGAGCGCTCTTTGTAGCTCGCTGAGAGCACCTTGTGGCACAAATATAGCGCTGCAACATGACACCAGCTGGACACCAAACATAATTTAGTCCTAAGCCACGAGAAACCCACACAAATGTTAACACATTTGCTAATTCCTGTTCTGTTTTATTTACACATGTCAAAGTTTGCATCAAGATCTGTTGCTGTTTCAGGGTGAGGTTCCAATTCCCTGCTGACTCGCGAGCTTTGGGTGTTTGTTTGGCATTTGGTTAAAATGTTTGCACGTCCACATTGCAGCACTCCCTCCAAAGTGTCTCCAAGATTATTACCAGCTTTGATGTCTGGCCAAGAATCATTCCTGTTTACACAAATCAGTTTGTTAAACTACAATAATGAGTTTTGTTGAAAGTCTCTGAGCGAATGGTGGAAAGTAACGGGTATTCCCAGAGAGCAGAGTAAAAAAAACACGCTGGTTTCAGCTGATCTCCTTTAAAAAGTAGTCTCTTTGGCCAGCATGCCCCATTCTATCATCATCACATAAACATAGGTCTTGCGCTCTTATTTTCTTTTTGATTTTTTTCCGCCCAAGTTTGTGAACAGGGTTTGAGTTTACAGTACAAAGGAAACGTCTCTCTCGGCTGTTATAGATTAACGTACAAGTATAATATTAGGACCTTTCAGCTCACAGTGGTTGTAGGGTTGGAGGCTTGGGAGTGTTGTGAGGATAGAGGCCAATTACTTTGCTGCATTGTTGAAGCTTTTTTTTAAGCTGCTTTCAGAAGAACACAAGTTTTGCGTTTGTGCTTTTTAACGTATGGAACTCCACCTGAAAGTCCCCTTTCATTCTCATCTGAATTCCTTCTTTCCAATCACAAATCACAGATCGACATTTCAGTAAAAGACACAAAAGGGGAAAAAAACTTTTTTTTTGACCCATAACTGAAATAGCTTCATAGGATATACTGTGAAGTTTAGTGATTGAGTATTGTGTAGGCAATGCAGCAGCCAATTTGTACAAGGCAAGGTCCCCAAAACAGCCATGAAGTCAATGACCAATTTTATCTGGGTTGTCCCACCGCCACTCGTCACTTCTCGGTTAGTTTGTGGAGTCCTGTAGCTCGGTGGTTAGAGCACTCGCTTTGCAAGTGAGAGACCTGAGTTCAATTCCAGGCAGAGGGCAAAACCTTGGGCAAGTTTCCTTACTCCACACAGAGCCTAATAATAATCCCTCCAAAAAAACAAAACAATAATAAATTGGTCATTTTCAATCTACGATTGTTTGTGGGACATTGCTGTGCGCAATTGGCTGCCGCGTTCGCCCACAAATATACAGTCAATTCACTTTGCAGTGTGTTCTGTGAAGCGCTTTGGGACGTCCTCCCGACGTGAAAAGCGCTATATCAAATGCAAGGATTATTATTATTATTATTATAGTTTATTAAGTCAGTGATGTGTGTCTGACCTCTCTAGGCTCTAAACTTCAGTTGCATTTTAACGCATCGCTCAGTCAAAGAGCAGGGACTCTCTCTCCCTCCTTCCACCCCCCCCCCCTTCTCTCTCACACAGTCCCTGCTATCTGGTTGATCAATGAATGAAGGATGCCGAGCAGTTTGGGAGGATTCAGTCCTTGGGGAGGAGATTGCCTGCGCTCCTCCAACGCTCTTCTACCCCCTGGGGAACATTTCTATTCTTGAACCAAAAACATACATTAATAATAATAATAATCCTTGCATTTGATATAGCGCTTTTCACATCGGGAGGACGTCCCAAAGCGCTTCACAGAACACACTGTAAAGTGAACTGACTGTATATTTGTGGGCGAACATTATCAAAAGTCGGGAAATTTTCACCCGTGTAATATTTTGCTGATCGGACGCTGATCATGCTTTCCCTCAATCAGATCAGACATCTCTCTGAGGAGAGATGGGACGGCCTCACTGACAACTCGGGCACAGCTCTATTGTAGACCGTGCTGGAAGCTCAGCTCCAAATCACTGGGAGGCTGGTGGGGGATAAATTAATTTACAAACAAAATGAAATTGGTGTTTATCCAATAAACACCGGGAAAAACATCCAGTAAACAAGGGAAGTATCTGTTTTGTCTTAACTCCACGGTTTTTGTCTCATTCATTCTTCGTCTCTTCCCCTGCCTCAGTGTGAACAGGCTCATCCTCTCAGTACACTAACAAAAGCCCCTGATTTATAAAAATTGCTAAAAAAAATAAAATTCATAAACCTTGAGTATCCAAAGCCCCGGCTATATGTGAGGACATGTGGCAGTCCGGCAGGATATTGCAGTTCACATAACTGCAAAAGGTCCAAGGTTCCACATGACACAGCAAATTGAAATT